TTTATTTTAATCCTATTTGCAAATTTTGTTCGGTTTTTAACCCATCATCCAACCGCTATATAAAGCCGAAATTTTTATGCTAAATCTTCATAACTAAATAGGATCTCTCAAAAAGAGATTCCAATCGAATCAAAACCCAGACTTCCAAATTCCTATATTCTCTGCACTCAAAAGGCCAATCATTCATTCATTCTTCTATACCATCACAAAATGTCTCTATCTATACATACATAGTATATATAGATATAATCTCCGATTCTCCAAATTCTCGTCATGCGACTTGCGATCAATGACATGAGCATCGCCCGCCGCAACTGCGCCTGCCCAATGTGCCTCAAAAGCAACCGGACGCCGGCGTCCTGCCCCGCCGTGGCCGATACGGCGCCGGAGAAATACGTCGCTGCCGCGCCTGACGACGGGGAGGATCTATTTGTGCCGCCGCTGAACTTTTCTATGGTCGATTACGGCGTGTTCCGGTCTGGATTCCCCGACGTGCCTAACTTTCCGTTTTTGAAAACCCTAGGCCTCCGATCGATTATGTTCGGTTCTATTCTGAAATTTTTATTTTTTATTTTTTATTATTTTGTTTTTTCTTGTTTTGTTATCTGAAGTTCTTAAATCGGATGCTGATTGTAATGTTGCAGATACTTGTGTCCGGAGCCTTATCCTGAAGCAAACGTCAGTTTCCTCAACGAGAATGGAATTCGTCTTTTCCATTTTGGTGTTGAAGGGTCTAAGGTATGTGTAATTCAGTTAGTATGCTTTATATTCGTGTATTGCAGTTTATCTGGATTATGGGTCAAATTAAACGAAATTACAGATCAGGGGATTGTGGAAATCTTTTGAAATTTGATCTTCTTCAGTAATATTTTTAATTCTTGTTGTTCGTATTGTGATGAGTTGAAACTATAGAACATTTTCTTGTCAAGGGGTATGGGGTAAATTTTGTTCTGCTTGAAATTGTTGCTGGATTTATTATGAAGAGGGATAAGTAGATATGACAAAAGTCCACCTAGGCGGATCGACATTTATTAGGCATTAAATGGTGTGGAAATTTGCCTGGTTATACAATTTCCTTGTGAATATTACTATTTCAAGATTCATAATAGGCTAAATTGTTAAAATCTTCAATCAGATGTGGGAAAAGATATGTATGGTGCATTTTATAAGTGAGAAGAAAATTTAGTGTTCAAAATGATGCTTTGGACTAGGAAAAAGAAATGCTCGTGATAGAGTGTCAAAGCTTGTTTATATCTTGTGTTCTTTTACAGGACAAATCTAGAATCAATTTATGAATTTCCAGATAACAAACAACGTAATAGATATAGTTGTGCATAATAGGAGTTTCTGAAGAATTCAAATGTTGCTTAGAAGTTTCCAGTTTCTTGAGGCCATGGTTTGTTAGAGGTGTTTTATTTCAGTTTTATTGTGGAGATATAAACCCCTTGAGTAATTATTTAGTATAATATATTAGAAAACATCTCTCATTGTTTTAAGCTCTTGTACCAACATCAAGTGACAGATAGTATCTATGATCTGTTAATGCCTCCTGTGAGATAGGATCTAAGTGTCGCTTCTTTTTCTAGTAGCTATTTAAATCGTTAAAGACCATTTATTACCAGATAAATAAAAGTTCCAGCCACAAAACGAACATCTGTTGTAAGATCTTTGTGGTGCTTCACATGGAATGGGAGAAACCTCCTCGAGCTCTACTGACTTCATAGTTGCAATGGATGATATTTTGTTTTTCTTTTCTTAAATTATCAAGATTCCTCCCTTTGCTGTTCTGTTTACGAAAATTGACATCTTCTCATTCTCAAATGATTAAAATATATAATTAATACTTTTTTTTTTTCTTTTTCCATTGAAGAATTGTTTTTTATCTAAAGTATTGCTACTTATGTTATGCAGGAGCCATTTGTGAGTATCCCGGATGATGTAATTCGCCGTGCACTGGAAGTACTATTAGGTATAATCTGTTCTGAATCACACTACCAATATTCTCTTTCGAGTTTTGAGATGTTTATTAACTTAATCTTAATACTCTCTATACAGATGAAAAAAACCGCCCCCTCCTAATTCACTGCAGACGGGGCAAGGTACCTT